TGTTAATAGTATTCTCTCCTCGTTTGAATATGCTGAATGTTCTTGTTATCACTATCATGAATATTATCAGTGCTATTAGTATGGTTATTCTTCTTCTGGCTATGACTACTCTTATTATTATGTGTCCGTTTCGTAATAGAATTATTATGCTTATTCGTATTCCTCCGCCTCCTCCTCCTACCCCTACTCCTCCTCCTCGTCCTCCCGCTGCGCCAAGCACCTCGTCAGGCACCGCAAGGTGGTCAAGTACGTCAGGACCCTTAGGCGGACTAAGATCACTTCACGGCTGGAAAGACAGGGGGTTCAAGCTGCAGGATCCTACGGCTACGAGGTCTACGGTGTGGTGGGCCAGGAGTTGGTTCGATATCGTCGACGTCTCGGGGCTGCCTGCGGTGCTCGAGTCCGAGGTCGCTGCCTCACGACGTTGCTTGAGTTGGAGGCCAACTCCCTTGACCCTGCGCTGCGTTTCACTACAGGCACGTTTCGGCAGTGGCTCTCCAACTGGCGTCAACATCCAGAGGCTCGTCAAGGTATTATTCGGGCGTGGGATAAGGTTCGCCAGAAGTTTGAGGCCATACCCCACGCCCAGAGGTCCAGGCATATCAGAGGCCCCATGTCAGCGGTGATATTTCATTTGCTGGATTTCGGATGGGTCCCACAATCACCGACGCTGTGGTCCCATCCAGGTGCGACGTCTTGGGCTTTTTCTGATGAGAATGTTACTGGTATTGGCGCTATCGATGCTGCAAGTTTTCACGAGTTCTTTGATGAGGTCAGGAGCGCAGCCATGGCGCCCATATGGGCGAAGGCTGCGCGGCATTACGACGGAGAAGGATTGGAGCATGGTACCGACAGCTATTCCTATCGGCGCTTGCTGAGGCAAATCCAGAATAATCCCCACATTGGGCGGCGCCTGGCAGCTTTGTTGGTCTCAGTTGCCACAGGGGCCGCCTGGCCTAAGGCGCGGAAGCAGGCGGTGCTGTCCAACGGTAATCGCCCCATTGATGTCAAGTGCGATCGCTGTGGTGAGGGCAGCGAGACTTCATTACATCGATACTGGACATGCCGATGCAATATCGGGTGTGTGGCCTTCGAACGAAGCGATCGGTTGGTGCCTCAGGCCTGCAGTCAAGGGGAAGTTCATCCATGCTACTGGTACCGAGGGCTGCTTCCAGCCGAATGGACGGCCACCCCTGCACCTCAGTATGCCGACGACTGGTATTGGGAAGGTTTGAATGGTGGGTTTTCACGGCGCTGCTTTCCGAAGGGGACGTATGACCGTCCCACTTTGGTGTTCGGTGACGCCAGCTGGGGTCCAGACACGAGAGACCCTCGCATGCGACGCGTGGCACTTGGTGTTGTTACGATCAGCGACTTCACGAACATGACGCTCGACTGTGCGATCTCTGGTGGTCTAGCTGGACCCAGGCAGACTGTCGCACGCGGAGAAGTCAAGGCTCTTTGGTTGTGTCTGTACTGCTGTAATGGAGTTACACATTGTGACGGACAACGAGAACGTGTACAGGGGATGGATCAATCGTGTGTTCCTGTGCCCCACGGGTGTTGATGCAGACATATGGGCAGAGATTGGTCGCATCATGGCTGATCTCAGGTACGAGGATAACACAGTTTCTTTTGTTCACTCTCACCAAGAGGCAAGTTCGCTGGTCCATGACCCATGGAAAATATTGGGCAATGCAGCTGTGGATGAGTTGGCTCGGCTAGCCGCCTTGGAGGTGCGTCTGAACCCATCGGTGAGATCGAGGTTGTTATTGCTGGAATGTGATGTATTTCTGATTCGGCATCGACTTCTACGAGCAGCTTTTGAGAGTGTGCGTGCTGGAGCTGGCACGCAAGGTGAGCAAGGTGAGGCTAGAGGCAAGCGGTCCTCCCTCCCGCCCGCTGCCCCTCCAGCTCCTTCTGTCGATTTAAACGTTTCTACCTCCCATGTCCTGGAGGAGTGTGGCCGTCGTTGTTCCAGGTGCTTTGGAAGCGCCACTTTAGGTACCGCCAGCCTCTGGAAGGCCAGCCCGTGTTTTGCCCCTGTGAACCTCAACGGTTCGTTCTTTACCCTCGGGGCCAAGAAAGTTCACATAGGGGGTGGCTGGGTCCATGAGAGCCATAGCATGATTTTGTGCACCAAGTTAGGTCTCTGGTTCTGTGGAACGTGCGGTAGTTACGCTAGCAAGCGAGCTTCCAACTTGCACAAGAATTGCGATTTGAAAGCCACACCAACGGGAGCTGAATATTTAAGGCGTATTCGTTTAGGGCTACCTCTCAAGGCCCTCAGCAAAGCCGAGAGGGAGGCCCGACAGGGGCCCGCTGGGAAGTCCCCCTCCCTGGTGTAAGGCGGCTTTCCCTTTTCACTTAGTGAACTAACTTTCTCTTGCTCTTGCTCCTCCTCCTCCTCCTCCTCCTCCTCCTCCTCCTCCTCCTCCGCATCCTCCTCATCCTCCTCCTCCTCCTCCTCCTCCTCCTCCTCCTCCTCCTCCTATTCCTCCTCCTCCTCCTCCTCCTCCTTCTCCCCCCCCCCCTCCCCCATTCTCAGCCCTTCTCCCTCCTCCATCCTCCCCCCTCCCTCATCCAACTCCTCCTCCTCCTGTCCTCATACTCCTCTCTCCTCCTCCTCCTCCTCCTCCTCCCCTCCTCCTTCCTCCTCCTCCTTCCTCCCTACTCCTCCCTCCTCCTCCTCCTCCCTCCTCCTCCTCCCCTCCTCCTCCTCCTCCTTCCTCCTCCTCCTCCTCCCATCCCCTTCCTCCTCTTCCTCCTTTTCCGCATCCTCCTCCTCCTCCTCCTGCTCATCCTCCTCCTCCTCATCCTCCTCCTCCTCCTCCTCCTCCTCCCCCTCCTTTTCGTAGTCCGATTCGCATTCTTAGTATTACTATTATGTGTATTATGATTATTAGTATTATTATTATTATTATTATTATTATTTTTATTATTAGTATTATTAGTATTGCTATTAGTATTATTAGTATTATTATTATTGTTATTATTATTATTAGTATTAGTAGTATGTTTCATGATTATCCTTATTATTATTAGTAGTAGTATTATTATTATTAATATTAGTATTAATATTAGTATTATTATTATGTCTTATTATTCTTATTATTATTAATAGTATTATTAGCATTAATATTATTATTCGTAGTAGCAGTAAAATCATTATTGATATTATTATTATCAGTAGTAGTATCAGCGTTAGCATGATTATTAGTATTAGTATTAGTATTAATATTAGTATTAGGATTAGTATTAGTATTAGTATTAGTATTAGTATGAGTATTAGTATTAGTATTAATATTAGTATTAGTATTAGTATTAGTATTAGTATTAATATTAGTTTTTAGTATTGTTATTATTAATATCAACATTATTAGTAGTAGTATTAGTATGAGTATTAATAGTAAAAGAAATATTGTTAGTATTAGTATTAGTATTAGTATTAGTATTAGTATTAGTATTAGTATTAGTATTAGTATTAGTATTAATATTAGTATTCTTAGTGTTAATAGTATTATTCTTATTATAATTAATAAGGATATTATTATTAGTATTAACATTATCCGTATTAGTATTAGTAGTAGTAGTAGTAGTAGTAGTAGTAGTAGTAGTCGTCGTGTCCGCATTCGCATTCTTAGTATTAGTTTCATCGTCATTAGTATTATCAGTAGTATTGTTAGTAATAATACTATCATTAATATTATTGGTACTATTAGTAGTATTATTAGTAGTAGTAGTAGTAGTAGTAGTAGTAGTAGTAGTCGTCGTAGTAATATGACTAGTATTATTATTGATAGTATTAATAATATTATTCGTCGTATTCTCACTATTCGTCTTTCCGTATTATTATTATTGTTCGCCTGTTCCTTAGTATTACTCTTAATAGTGTTATTATATTATCGTGTTTCCTCTTATTATTATCTGTCTTCTGCGTATTCTTCATATGTGTCTTACATCTAGTATCATGATTATGACGCGTATGAATATTATTACGCTTACTGTTACGTGTTCTTCGTACGCTTCGTACCACTAGTATTGCTCTTCTCCTTACTAGTATGATTGGTAGTGTTCTTCGTCTCATTATCAGTCTTATCACCGTTCTTAGTAATATGGTTATTCTCATTATTATTATTCGTCTTAGTATTACTGTTATATTCATCATGGTTCTTAGTACTATGCTTGTGATTCTTCTTATCAGTATTCACACTATTAATCGTAGTCTTCATATTCCTTATTAGTCGTATCATTATTATCATTATTCTTTTTTTCGTAATAGCATGGGTATTGTTATTATGTGTCGTATTGTCTTCTTACTTAGAATGATTACTATTGGTATTGTTATGATAGTATGATTATTGTTATCATGAGTCTTATTAGTACTTCCACTATTAGCATTATGATTATTTATGTTATTATTATTATAAAAAAAAAAAAAAAAAAAAAAAAAAAAAAAAAAATGTTCTTATTATTCGTGTTGTTACTGTTATTAATCGTATGCTTAAGATTTGCAAGTGCATCATTATTATTAGTGTTATTCTTCTTTATTTGATTACTAGCTGAATACTATTATTATTCAAATAAGTATTATTATGATTCCTGCTACTCTTCTTAGTAATAGTACTAAGAGTCTTCTTACTATTATTATTACTCGTAATGCCCCTATTATTATAAATACCATTACGCGTATTACTCTAGCATGTTTGATTTTCCTATTAATGGTGTTCTACATAGCACCCTTCTTTTTGATATTAGTATTCGGATTCGCAATCGTAGTATTATTATTCGTATTGTTCGCATTATTCCTGGTATTGCTATTATTATTTATACTATTCATCTTCCTCCTCCTCCTCCTCCTCCTCCTCCTCCTCCTCCTCCTCCTCTCCCTCCCTCCTCCTCCTCATCATCGTCCTCCTCGTCCTCCTCCTCCTCCTCCACCACCACCTCCACACCCTCCTCCTCCTCGTCCTCCTCCTCTTCCTCCGCTTCCTCCTCCTCATCCTCCTCCGCCTACACACTCCAGAGGAGCAACGGCGCCAATGCCCTGCAAACGGCCGCCCGCGGCGGCCGCCGAGGTTCACTGGCGCGGGTCCGGGC